TGAAATTAAAAAAATAAAATTGGCTGGGCACAGTGCTCACACCTGTAATCCCAGCACTTTAGGAGGCCAAGGTGGGTGGATCACGAGGTCAGGAGCTCAAGACCATCCTGGCTAACATGGTGAAACCCCATCTCTACTAAAAATACAAAAAAAAAATTAGCTGGGCATGGTGGTGCGCATCTGTAGTCCCAGCTACTCAGGAGGCTGAGGCAGGAGAATGTCGTGAACCCGGGAGGTGGAGCTTGCAGTGAGCCGAGATCGCGCCACTGCTCTCCAGCCTGGGCGACAGAGCGAGACTCCGCCTCAAAATAAATAAATAAATAAATAAAATGAATTAATTTCACCTGCTTCTATTTACTTTTTTTTTTGAGACAGGATCTCAGTCTGTCACTCAGGCTGGAGCAGTGGTGCAATCTCAGCTCACTGCAGCCTCAATTTCCCAGGCTCAGGTGATCCTCCTGCCTCAGCTTCCTCAGTAGCTGGGACTACAGGCACATGCCACCATGCTGGGCTAATTTTTAAATTATTTGTAGAGATGGGGTCTCCCTATATTGCCAAGGCTAGTCTCAAACTCCTGACCTTGGCCTCCCAAAGTGTTGGGATTACAGGTGTGAGTTATCACACCCAGCATTCTGTTTACCTTTTAAGGTGGCTACTAGAAAATTCAAAATGACATATGTGGCTGGCATCATGCTTTTATTGGACAACATTGGGTTAGATAGTAGTAATACTAGGGAGGGCCGGGTGCAGTGGCTCACGCCCATAATCCCAGCACTTTGGGAGGCTGAGGTGGGTGGATGACTTGAGCTCAGGAGTTTGAGAGCAGCCTGGCCAACATGGTGAAACCCCAACTCTACTAAAAACACAAAAATTTGCCGGGTGTGGTGGCGGGTGCTTGTAATCCTTACTTGGAAGGTTGAGACAGGAGAATCACTTGAACCCGGGAGGCAAAGGCTGCAGTGAGCTGACGTTGTGCCACTGCACTCCAGCCTGGGCAACAGAACGAGACTCTGTCTCAAAGAAAGATAGTGGTAAGTACTAAGGAGAAAATAAAGCAGTGATGGGACTTGGCAATTTAGAAAAGGGCAATCAAAGAAGGCCTGGCTGAATACACAAGTTAATAAGATAATTACAAATGGTTTTAAGTGCTTTGGTGCAAAAGTACAGGATACCAGGAGAGAAAATGGGGATGGGGGGGCACCTGAGTTCACGTAGGGGCTCAGGAAAGAGGGTCTCCAGAAGTGATGTCTGAGCTGAGACTGGAAGGATGAGCAGGCATGACTCAGGAGAAAAAGGAGGAGGGAGGAGAGGAGAGCATTCTGGGCTGGAGGAACAGCCTGTGCAAAGGCCCTAAGGTTTGGAGGGTGAGTGAGAAGGGGAGGGAGGCAGGAGCTTCACAGGGCCTGGTGAGCCATGCCAATGCCCTTGGCCTTTCTCCTAAGGATGCTGGGGAGCCTCAGAAGGGCTCTGAGAAGGGCAGAGACAGGAGGCATAAGTTGATTTGGAGGCCTGGCATGGTGGTTTCACATCTGTATTGCCGCGCTTTAGGAGGCTGAGGCGGGAGGATCACTTGAGCCCAGAAGTTTGAGACCAGCCTGAATAACATAGTGGGACCCCATCCCTATTTAAAAAAAAATTATAGGCTGGGTGCCAGGGCTCACACCTGTCATCCCAGCACTTTGGGAAGCTGAGGCGGGTGGGTTGCTTGAACTCAGGAGCTTAAGACCAGCCTGGGCAACATGATGAAACTCCATCTCTACAAAAAATACAAAAAAAATTAGTTGGGCATGGTAGTGCATGCCCATAGTCCCACCTACTTGGGAGGCTCAGTCATGCACTCCAGCCTGCATGACAAAGCAAGACTTTATCTCAAAAAAATTTATATACATATATATATATGTTGATTTGTATTTCAGAACATTCCTCCAGATCTAGAAAAACCCCTAAGGCTTTAGAAACTGATGCATGTCCTATAGGATAACCTTCAAAGAAAAGCTATAATTATTTTTTCTTTTCTTTCTTTTTTTTTTTGAGATGGAGTCTTGCTCTGTTGCCCAGACTGGGGTGCGGTGGTCTCATCTCCGCTCATTGCAACCTCCGCCTCCCGGGTTCAAGTGATTCTCCTGCCTCGGCCTCCCAAGTGGCTCAGATTATAGGCATGCACCACCACACCTGGGTAATTTTTGTATTTTTAGTAGAGATGGGGTTTCGCCATGTTGGTCAGGCTGGTCTTGAACTCCCGACCTCAAGTCATCTGCCCACCTCGGCCTCCCAAACTGCTGGGATTATAGGCGTGAGCCACTCACTGCGCCCGACCGAAAAGCTGTAATTTTAACTCTGCCTCACAATGTTGTCATGGATACCTCTGCATTCCTAAATGGTGAAAAGCTTCTATGACACATGATGGAGAAAAAAAGCCCCATCGTGATTTTCCCACGACACATCTATTAGAATGACTAAAAGTAACACCAAACCCAAACACCCAGACAATATGAAATGCTGGCACAGATGTGGAGCAACTGGAACCCTCATACATTGCTGATGGGAATGCAAAATGATACAGTCACTTTGGAAAACAGTTTGGCTGTTTCTTCTTTTTCTTTTTTTGGAAATGGAGTCTCCCTCTGTTGCCCAGGCTGGAGTACAGTAGCATGATCTCGGCTCACTGCAACCTCCGCCTCCCAGGTTCAAGTGATTCTCCTGCCTCAGCCTCCCAAGTAGCTCACACTACAGGCTTGTACCACCACGCCCAGCTAATTTTTGTATTTTTAGTAGAGATGGGGTTTCACCATGTTGGCCAGGCTGGTCCTGAACTCCTGATCTCAGGTGACCCACCCACCTTGGCCTCCCAAAGTGCTGGGATTATAGGCACGAGCCATTATACTCTTCCCTGACTGTTTCTTTCTTTCTTTTATTTTTTGAGACAGAATCTCACTCTGTCACCCAGGCTAGAGTGCAGTGGTCTGACCTCAGCTCACTGCAACTTCCGCCTCCTGGGTTAAAGTGATTCTCGTGTCTTGGCCTCCCAAGCAACTGGGGTTACAAGCATATGCCACCACACCTGGCTAATTTTTGTATTTTTAATGGAGACGGTGTTTTGCCATGTTGGCCAGGCTGGTCTCAAACTCATGGCCTCAACTGATCCACCCTCCTCAGCCTCCCAAAGTGCTGGGATTACAGGAGTGAGCCACTGCAGCCAGTTATGGCAGTTTCCTAAATTAAATACACACATACTATATAACCCATCCATTCCAATCCTAGCTGTTTACCCAAGAGAAATGAAAACATGTGATCTCATAAAATCTTGTATGAGAATGTTTACAGTAGCTGGTTTTTTGTAATCACCCAAACTTGGAAACAGCCCAACATCTTCCAACTGGTGAAAGGATAAAAAAACTGTGCTCCATTCATACCATGGAATACTATTCACTATTTACAAAGGAGCTACTGATATAAACCACAACATGGGCCAGGCGCGGTGGTTCACGTCTGTAATCCCAGCACCTTGGGAGGCTGAGGCGAGTGGATCACCTGAGGTCAGGAGTTTGAGACCAGCCTGGCCAACCTGGTGAAACTCCTTCTCTATTAAAAATATAAAAATTAGCTAGGCGTGTTGTTGCATGCCTGTAATCCCAGCTACTCGGGAGGCTGAGGCAGGAGAATCACTCGAACCTAGGAGGCAGAGGCTGCAGTGAGCCAAGATTGCACCAATGCACTCCTGGGCAACAGAATGAGACTCTGTCTCAAAAAAACAAAACAAAACAAGAAAGAAAAACCACAACAGGGAGGAATTTTAAATATATCATGCTAAGTATGAGCCAGGCCCAAACAGCTACATACTGTACGATTCCTTGTATGTGACCCTCTCGAAAAAGCAAAACTCTGGGTTCTGAGGACAGTGGTTGCCAGGGACATGGGAGTGTGGGAGGGGTTTACTACAAGAGAATATTTTTGTGTAAAAAATCATAGTAATGGCCGGATGTGGTGGCTCATGCCTATAATCCCAGCACTTTGGGAGGCTGAGGCGGGTGGATCACCTGAGGTCGGGAGTTCAAGACCAGCCTAGCCAACATGGTGAAACCCCCGACTCTACTAAAAATACAAAAATTAGCTGGGCTTGATGGCGGGCACCTATAATCTCAGCTACTCAGGAGGCTGAAGCAGGAGAATTGCTTGAACCCAGGAGGTGGAGGTTGAAGTGAGCCAAGATCGTGCCAGTGCACTCCAGCCTGAGTGACAAGGGCAAAACTCTGTCTCAAAAGAAACCCAAAAAAAATAGTGGTAATTGTGTAACCACTATTACAATCACACTAATTGGTCAACAGCTGGATTGTGATAGTGGTTACACAATTGCATGCATGTGTCAAAATTCACAGAACTGTGTACCATAAAGAGAATTTACTGCATGAAAACCATATATCTTTTTGTGGTTTTTTTTGTTTGTTTGTTTGTTTTCAGGTTTTTTTTTTTTTTTTTTTTTTTTTTGAGATTGGGTCTTAACCACTTTGCCCAGGCTGGTCTTCACCTCTGAGTCTCTAGCAATCCTCCTTCCTTGGCTTCCCAAAGGGCCGGGATTACAGGTGTGAGTCACTGCACCCAGCCAGGGCAGTTTCTTACATTAAATATACACTTACTATATAACCCATCCATTCCAATCCTAGCTGTTTACCCAAGAGAAATGAAAACATGTGATCTCATAAAATCTTGTATGGGAATGTTTACAGTAGCTGGTTTTTTGTAATCACCCAAACTTGGAAACAGCCCGATGTCTTCCAACTGGTGAAAGGATAAAAAAACTGTGCTCCAGTCACACCGTGGAATGCTATTCACTATTTACAAAGGAACTACTGATATAAACCACAACATGGGCCAGGTGCGGTGGCTCACGCCTGTAATCCTAGCACTTTGGGAGGCTGAGGCGAGTGGATCACCTGAGGTCAGGAGTTCGAGACCAGCCTGACCAACCTGGTGAAACTCCTTCTCTATTAAAAATATAAAAACTAGCTGGGCGTGTTGTTGCATGCCTGTAATTCCAGCTACTTGGGAGGCTGAAGCAGGAGAATGGCTTGAACCCCGGAGGCAGAGGTTGAACTGAGCCAAGATCGTGCCAGTGCTCTCCAGCCTGAGTGACAAGAGTAAAACTCTGTCTCAAAAAAAAAAAATTGTGGTAATTGTGTAACCACTATTACAATCACACTAATTGGTCAAAGCTGGATTGTGATAGTGGTTACACAATTGCATGCATGTGTCAAAAATTCATAGAACTGTGTACCATAAAGGGAATTTACCATATGCAAACCACATATATATCTTCTTGTGTGTGTGTGGTTTTTTTTCGGTTTGTTTTCAGGTTTTTTGGGTTTTTTTGAGAATGGGTCCTAACCACTTTGCCCAGGCTGGTCTTGAACCCCGAGGCTCTAGCAATCCTCCTCCCTTGGCCTCCCAAAGTTCTGGGATTACAGGAGTGAGCCACACATCAAATTTTAAAAAGCAAAAAAGACCCCATGATTCTGTTACATTTCTTATTTTAACTTGAATAGAGAGTCCTTCTGTTTGTTTGTTTGTTTGAGACAGAGTCTAACTCTGTTGCCGAGGTCAGAGTGCACTGACACAATCTAATCTCGGCTCACTGCAACCTCCACTTCCTGGGTTCAAACGATTCTCGTGCCTCAGCCTCCTGAGTAGTTGGGATTACAGGCATGTGTTACCACACCCGGCTAATTTTTGGTATTACTGGTAGAGACAGCATTTTGTCATGTTGCCCAGGCTGGTCTCAAACTCCTGAGCTCAGGCAATCCACCCGCCTTAGCCTCCCAAAGTGCTAGGATTACAGGTATGAGCCACCATGCCAGGCCAAACAAAGAGCCTTTTTTAATTTGAATTAACGGTTCACTTAAGCAGAGGTTCATGCAATAAATAAATAAATAAATAAAATAATAAAAATTAACAGTACACACCCATACACATACCTGTGTCCATGCAGACACACACACCGGCATTTACATGGTGACACACATTCCTCATATGTGTACATGTCCACACTCCCTCACATACACTTATGCGTGATACATGTGTGTGCTCATATGCACACACACACACATACACCTGTCCACACGTGCCGATCAGGCCCACACACAGCCACTCCAACCCCTCCTCCTGCTTACCTGATTAAAAAATGGACACAGACGATACTCTCCGACTGGGGGCCCCGTCCCCCTGACACCACTGTGGCCTGGGTCTGGGTCCACAGGTAGCCACCGTTCCGGGCCAGGAAGCGATACTGCCCTGTTACTGCCTGGCCCTTGCTCAGCACTGAGGAGGGGGATCGGGAGGGGTCAGAGCCACCAAGGGGGCAACTGAGGAGAGAAAGATCTGGGGGCTGGGTATGAGGGGGTAAGGAAGGAGACGGTTCCCTGGGGCTTGGGGAGCAGGGAGCTGGTGTTGAGGTAGGGAGGGAGTGCATCCTGGGGTGTGGAGAGCTGGGGGGTCCTGGTGCTGGCTGGGGGCCATGCAGCAGATGGCTCCACGCCTGGGGAAATGGGATACATACAGGTGTGGATGCTCTTGCTGACCGCATCGGAGTCCAGCGCGTGGATGTACTCGTAGGCAGAACAGCCGATCAGGTCATCGGGACTGTAGCCGGCCACTTCTGCGATCCTGGGGGTGGGGCAGAGTGGGGTCTGGTCAGGATGCTACTGGCTGAGAGGGAGGGTAGGTAGAGAGAAGTGGCAGCAGAGGACACGGGAACAAAGCCAGTAAGATGTCAAGAGACAGGATCGTAACCCAGAGAAAAGGAGTAAGAAACAGAGTAAGAGGAGTGCGGTGGGTTGAATAATGACCCCCAAAGATGTCTACATCCTAATTCCCAGAATCTGTAGATATGGTATCTTACATGGCAAAAGGGACTTTGCAGATATGATGACATTGGAAGTTTTTTTTTTGGTCGGAGTCTCGCCCTGTCACCCAGGCTGGAGTGCAGTGGCATGATCTCGGCTCACTGCAGGCTCCGCCTCCTGGGTTCACACCTTTCTCCTGCCTCAGCCACCCTAGTAGCTAGTAGGGGACTACAGGCGCCCGCCACCACGCCGGGCTAATATTTTTTGTATTTTTTTAGTAGAGATGGGGTTTCACCATGTTAGCCGGGATGGTCTCGATCTCCTGACCTCATGATCCACCTGCCTCCGCCTCCCAAAGTGCTGGGATTACAGGCGTGAGCCACTGCACCCGGCTGTTGCTTGTTTTCTGAGGCAGGCTCTCGCTCTGTCACCCAGGCTAGAGTGCAGTGGTGCAATCATGGCTCACCACAGGCTTGACCTCCCAGGCTCAAGCAATCCCCCTGACTCAGCCTCCTGAAGCTGGGACTTCAGGTGTGTACCCTGTCTGGTTACTTTTTACATTTTTTTTTTTTGGTAGAAATGGGGTCTCACTATGTTGCCTAGTCTGGTCTTGAACCCCCGGCCTCAATCTTCCTGCCTTAGCCTCCCAAAGAGATGAGATTACAGGTGTCAGCCGCCTCGCCCGGCCTGCCTTAGTCTTGAGATAGGGAGATGGATGCAGGTGGGCCCTGCTCTAGGAGCTGGAAAAGGCATGGAAACAGATTCTTTCCTGGAGCCTGCAGAAGGAACACAGCCTTAATTTTGCCTGTAAGACTCATTACTAATTTATTTTTCTTTCTTTAAGATGGGGTCTCACTATGCTGTCCAGGCTGATCTGGAACTCCTGGCCTCAAGTCATCCTCCCGCCTTGATCTCCCAAAGTGCTGAGATTACAGGTGTGAGCCACCATACCTGGCCTAATTTCAAATTTCTGACCTCCAGAATGGTGAGACAGTGAGTTTGTATTGTTTGGAGCCACTGAGTTTGTGGTAATATATTACAGCAGCAATAGGGAACTAATCCATGGAGATGGGAAGAAGAGCTAAGAAAAGAGAGAAAAAGAGACAACATGCATGACATAGCAGAGGAAGAGAGGGGAAGAAAAGAACACAAAAAGAAAGAGAAGAATGAAAATAAATAAAGAGTAATGAGGATGATAGGCCAGGTGCAGGGGCTCACGCCTGTAATCCCAGCACTTTGGGAGGCCGAGGTGGGCGGATCACCTGAGGTCAGGAGTTCAAGACCAGCCTGGCCAAAATCGTAAAACCTCACCTCTACTAAAAATACAAAAAGTAGCCAGGCATTGTGGTAGGCGCCTGTGATCACAGATACTCAGGAGGCTGAGGGAGGAGAATCACTTGAACCCGGGAGGTGGACGTTGCAGTGAGCCAAGATCCTGCCACTGCACTCCAGCCTGGGCGACAGAGCAAGAACAACAACAAAGTAATGATGACAATAATGATTTAAAAATTAGACACTTGTGCTTTGCACTGGGAAACTCACTGAGCTGCTCAGAATGACCGTACAAGGCAGGTTCTATTATGATTCCACAGGATAGGTGAGGAAATTGCGGCACAGAGAGGTGAAGTCATTTGGCTAAGGATATGCAGCCAAGACCAACACCCAACCAGGCTGAATCCAGAGTCACCGTTCCTACACATGACACCAGGGCGAGGGATAAGACAGAAGAAGGAAGAGAAGGACAGAAGGAAGAGAGTTGAAGAGAAAAAAAGATGAAAGGAAGGATAGAGGGCGAACAAATAACAGTTTATTTTATTTATCATTATTATTTTTTTAGAGACAGCGTCTCATTCTGTTGCCCAGGCTGGAGTGCAATGGTGCAATCATGGCTAACTGCAGCCTCAACCTCCTGGGCTCAAGTATTCTTCCCACCTCAGCCTCCTGTGTGGCTGGGACCAAAGGCATGTGCCACCGGCCTAGCTAATTTTTTTTTTTTTTTTTTGAGACGGAGTCTTGTTCTGTCACTCAGGCTGGAGTGCAAACGAACAATCTCAGCTCACTGTAACCTCTGCCTCCCCGGCTCAAGCGATTCTCCTGTCTCAGTCTCCCGAGTAGCTGGGATTACAGGCATGCACCACCACGCCCAGCTAATTTTTGTATTTTTAGTAGAGACGGGGTTTCATCATGTTGGCCAGGCTGGTCTTGAACTCCTGACCTCAGGTGATCCACCCGCCTTGGCCTCCCAAAGTGCTGGGATTACAGGCAGGAGCCACCGTGCCCAGCCCCGCCTGGCTAATTTTTTTGTAGAGACGGGGTCTCCGTATATTGTCCAAGGTGGTCTTGAACTCCTGGTCTCAAGCAATTCTCCCATATTGGCCTCCCTAAGTGCTGGTATTGCAGGTGTGAGCCACTGGGCCTGGCTTAATGACAATTTATCGAGTGCTTCCTGTGTGCTGGCACCATACTAACTGCTTGACACAAATTGACTCATTTAAGAAAAGGGACAAAGAGAGATAGACCCTAAGAGAAAGACTCAGAGACAGAGAGAGAACGAAAGATAAAAGGCGGCTGGGTGCGGTGGCTCACGCCTGTAATCCCAGCACTTTGGGAGGCCGAGGCGGGAGGATGGCTTGAGCCCAGGAGTTTGACAGCAGTCTGGGCAAATGGCAAGACAGCATTTTTACGAAAAAAGAAAAGATATAAAAGACACACAGAAAATTCAGAGACAGGCAGGCACACACAGAGAGAAAGATGGATGAAGTGAGAGAGAGAGAGAAGGAGTGAGAGAAATGTGGGGGTGTGGAGGTGGGGAGGACAGCACACTTGAACCTGGGCAGAGGGAAGTGGGCCCCTGCCCACCTGTCATCACAGTAGGTGAACTTCATGTCCAGGCTGTGGCGGCTGAGGAAGGCCCCCCGGCCCAGCGGGGGCTCCAGGCTGCCTGGGTGGGGGATGGCTTCGCAGATGAGCACCAGGCACTGCAGTGGCGGCTCTGAGTCGGGGCTCCCAGCTGGAGAAGTCTGTGCAGGGGGCTTGTAGGCTCTCATATGTCCAGAGCAATGCAGCACCTGGGGGCCGAGAAGCGGGGACAAGGCAGTGGTGCCTCCGGGCCTGAGACCACCCATGAGGCTGCAAGATGCCTCCTGTGGGCCCATCAGGGAGCTAAGATTCCAACCCCATGAAGACTCCAGGTTCAAAGGGGCTGAGGATCCCCAGCCCCAGGCTCATAGGAACCCCTCCTAAGAGAGTTTACAGGAGCCCCAGGTCCCAACTCACAGACACCCATGCTCCTCGATGCACTGAGGACCCACTAGACCTGACCTGAGTGAGCCCCGCACAGTCCCCAGGCCAGGAGATGCCTGGACTCCAGCACCCTTCGAGATCTTTCGGGGCTCACACCCAGCCCCAGCAGCCCTGGCAGCCCCAGCATCCACGCCCTCCTCTGGCCCGGCCCCGCGCACCTTCCAGGTGGCCGCCTTGAGGTTGAGGGTGCGCCCGCGGCTGGTGAGCGTACTCTTCATGCGCAAGGAGAAGCACCGCTCTGTGGGGGCCTCCACCTTCCTCCTGGACAGGGCTGGGGAGGCCCGGGGGCAGGGGGGAGGTCACAGGCAGCTGCACACAGGCCCAGTGCCCTCCGGCACCCTGGCTGCTCAGGCCTCTGGAAGGTCTGAACCTTCCAGAGAGGGTTCAGACCCTCTCTGGAACCAGAGAGGATCCCCCAAGGGTAGTATGTGTCCCCTCAGACCCCCCAGGGCAGGGCTGTGTCCCGTCAGACCCCCCAGGGCAGGGCCATCTCTCCTCTTCCTACTTGTCTTTGTCTGGTGTTCCAGAGGAGGAGGGGATATGCTGAGGGAGGGGTGGAGCCTCAGCTTCCTCCTCTGTGTGGTGAGGACAGACGCTTCTGGGGAACTCACTCTGTTGGGGGGTCAGGGCGTCCTGAAGCTCCTCTTGGTCACAGGGGTGGATGAAATCAAAGATGCTGTGTCCGATGAGCTCCAGCTGCCAGGGATGAGAGGGGTGGGGGTCTACCAGGGTCTCTCATCCATCTCCTCCATCCCATCCTCATGTCCCCTGCTCCCATTCGTGAGCCTGGATGATTTCACCAGTCTCCCCATTCATGTGTCCATCCATTTGTCCATCCATCCATCCATCCACTCAGCAAGCATTTATTCAGCACGTACCAAGTGCCAGGCCCTTATCTATCTATCTATCTATCTATCTATCTATCTATCTATCTATCTATCTATCATCTATCTATCTATCTATTTTTTGAGACGGGTCTTGCTCTGTTGCCCAGGCTGGAGTGCAGTAGTGCAGTGGCACAATCATAACTTCCTGCAGCCTCAACCTGGGCTCAAGCAATCCGATCCTCCCACCTCAGCCTCCTCAGTAGCTGGGACTACAGTCACGCACCGCCACACCTGGATATATATATGTATTTTTTGAAATGGAGTCTCGCTCTATTGCCCAGGCTGGAATGCAATGGTGCAATCTCGGCTCACTGCAACCTCCGCCTCCTTGGTTCAAGCGATTCTCCCACCTCAGCCTCCCGAGTAGCTGGGACTACAGGCATGTGCCACCACACCCGGCTACTTTTTGTATTTTTAGTAGAGATGGGGTTTCGTCATGTTGGCCAGGCTGGTCTCGAACTCCTGACTCAAGTGATCTGCCTGCCTTGGCCTCCCAAAGTGCTGGGATTATAGGCGTGAGCCACCACATCCAGCTTTCGGCTAATTTAAAAAAAAATTTTTTTGTAGAGATGGGGGTCTCACCATGTTGCCCAGGCTGGTCTCAAACTCCCGAGCTCAAGCAATCCTCCCACCTTGGCCTCCCAAAGTACTGGAATTATACGTGGGAGCTACCACACCTGGCTCTTCTAAATGGTATGGACACAGTGACCACACACACAAATCCCTGCCTTGAAGAGCTTACTGGCCAGTGGGGTGAGACAGACAGTGAATGAAAGAACAGATAATAACAATATAACAAGTAACATGAAGAAAACAAAAGAAGGACAAGGTGATGCAATGATGGGAGGCTGCTTTAGAGACAGTGGTCTAGACAGTTTCTTTGAAGAGGTGACATTTAAAAAGACTGCTGAACAAAGCAAGTGAGGTGGCCTTGTGGCCCCCTGCAGTAAGAGTATTCCAGAAAGAGGGAACAGTAAGCACAAGGCCCTGAGATGAGACTCCATTCAAATCACACTTGTCTGGCAGGCCAAAAACCCAACTCTTCATTTCAGTTTAGGAAATGAGCCTGGTGCTGGGAGGGGACACAGATGAAGGTGGACCCTATTGGCTCACCATGTGAATGGTGCTGGTGCTGGTGAATAGGGAAAGAGGGAGATCTCACTCCTCTGACAACACCTCTTGTAGCTGGAGTCGAATCCTGGCTGTGCCATTTCCTAGCTTTGGGACCTCAGGACGTTCATCTCTCTGGGTCCAAAAAGCTCACTCACACTGACAGAGAAATTGGTACCAGGAGTGGGGTAACCAGGCAGAGAAAAGGAACAGATACCAACTATTGCGCCCATTTATTTGAGATTAAAAAAAAAAAAGAATGGGAACTGTCTTGTAGGCCTTGCTGTAAGGATGAATTAAAGTTAGTTCTACTTTCTACGCTCGCTTAGGCAGCACGTATGCTAAAAATTGGAATAACACAGAGAAGATTAGCATGGCCTCTGTGCAAGGATGATACGCAAATGCATGAAGCCTTCCATGTTAATTAAAAAAGTAAATTTTACTTTCTAAATGTCTCTTGTTCTTATCTTTCCATCCCCATGGCCCCTGCCACTGTTCCTCTTCTCCCACCTGAGATTGGCATCTACCTATTGTTGATCTCTCAACCTCTGATCTCACTCCCTCCAAATCTACCTCCATGCTGTACCTAGAGGATCTTTCAAAAATGTAAATCTGATTCTACCTCTCTGGCACAACCTCTCCACTGCTTAAACTCCTTCTATAGCTCCCCAGGGTCCTGGAGATAAAGCTAAGTTGGCCTTACATTTGGCCACAGGCTACCCTGATGACCTCTATAGCCTTTTGTCTCTCAGCTTCTCCTATTGCACTCTGCACCTAGGAGGATAAACTTTTGTTTGTTTGTTTGTTTGTTTGTTTTTGAGACTGGATCTTGCTCTGTCACCCAGGCTGTAGTGTACTGGTGCGATCTTGGCTTACTGCAACTTCCACCTCCCAGGCTCACATGATCCTCCCACCCCAGCCTCCCAAGTAGCTGGGACCACAGGCGTGTGCCAGCACATCTGGCGAAATTTTTGTATTTTTGGTGGAGACAGGGTTTTGCCATGTTGCCCAGGTGAAACACTGAACTCCTGAACTTAAGCTATCCTCCCATCTTGGCCATTCAAAGTGCTAGAATTACAGGTGTGAGCCACTGCACGTGGCCAACTTCTTTATTTCCCCAAATTATCCTGTTTCTTTCTCACCTCTTGGCCTTTGCCTCCTCTGTTCCCTCTGCCATGTACATTCCTGACCTTCACTGATCCCATCCATTCTCCACACCCCTTTGACCAGCTAAGTTCTTCAGATTTCAGCTCAGACGTCTTCTCCTCCAGGAAGCCCTCCATTCCCACCCAGGCTGGGTCAGGTACACCCCACCCCTGTGCTCCCACAGCCCCCTAGACTGTCCCATCCCAGACCTGACCATTCTGGGTCTTCCTGTCTAGTGACATACCTATATCCCCTTTGTACTGTGAGTCCCATAAAGGTAGGGCTATGGCTGTCCTGGTCACCACTGTATCCCCAGCATCACCAGTACAGGGCCAGGCACAGAGCCAGGAGCTCCTCTCACCTGACTGAGGCCCAGGTGTTTGCTGACATTCTCCGACAGGTAAGCCATGTCTCCCTCGGTGGTGAGCACCATGACGAAGCCCTCCAGGGCCTTCAGGTAGCAGGCATCCAGTGGTTCTCCCCCTGCTCCCACCTGGTTCCACTCCCCTGGTACCCGGGGCAGGGGGGGATGGGGGCATCTCTAGTCAGTTATGGACTGAGTTATGAACTGACCCTGGGCTAGCCTCCCTCTGCCTTGCCTCATTCAGAGAAACTTACATGCACCCCCGAGGGAGTGGGGGTACATCCTAGTGACCTGGATTCCCAAGGAAGAAAGCAGGACTAAGAAGCGCTGGAATTAGAAGCAGGGCCTCCCGGGGGGCAGAATTCTAAGGAAGTAGGAGTCTCCCAAGGGAACGGAATTCTAAGGATATGGGTGGGCCTCCTAGGAGGACAGAATTCTAAGTGGATGGAACTCCCCAGGGTCAAAATATGAAGGGGCCAGGGCCTAGGGGGAATTGTAATACAGAGCTGATGGGGAAGCCTCGAAGGGGTTCAACACTCATGGAGGGCAGGATGTTCCAGAGGGACAGAACTCCAGAGAAGCAGGGGCTCCCAGAGGACAGACTTCTAAGGGGGTAAAGCCTCCAAGAAAAGTAAAATTCTATGGGGCAAGTCAAATGGGCAGAGCCTCCCAGAGAGTAACACTACCTCCCCCGCTTTCAGGGTCCTGGGATTCCATGGGGTTTATGTGTGAGTGTATGTGTGTGTGTGCGTGCGTGGCAAAGCTCGCTGCACGGTGCAATTCTAACTGGGTGGAAATTCAAGGAGATGCCTACTAAAAGAACAAGTGATGTAGAACTAGAGGGGTGGGGAAGGGACAAGGGACTCTCAGGTTCAGCAATGAAAAGTTGGGCGGCGTGGCCTCCCAGTGGATGTATTATGAGACCAGGGCCTATCCATCTGGGAGAGTCCCCGAGAGGATGAAATCCTAAGGATTGAAGGGTTAGGGGATTCTCCGCGAGTCCTAAGGAGGCGGGGCTTCCAAAGGGCGCGTTCCAGAGGGCGGGGCCTCACAAGTGATCGACTTCTAAGGGGGTGGGACTCCCAGCACGCCAGTAACTCAAAGGGGGCGGGGTCTCGCCTGGGAAGTGGGATTCCGGGGGGGTGGGGCTCCGCCGAGAAGACGTCCACCAGGGGGCGGGGCTTTGTCAGAATACGGCTTCCCGGAGGAGGGGCCTCCATGGGATGTGGGCGGGGCCTGGCCAAGACGGGAATTCCCACGGGCGGGGCTCACCTGCGGCGCAGAGGCGGTGCATGCGCAGGTAGCTGATGGTGAGGCGCATGATGGAAGCCTTGTCCAGGTGGGCGCTGACGCCGCGTGCGAAGGGCAGCGTGTGGGCCAGCTGGTACAGCACCTCGGTCTCCTGGCTGCGCCGGCTGCGGGCCGCATCCCGGGACTTCTCCTTGCGCAGCTCGGTGGTCGACCTGAGAGCATGGGCAGCGTTCACTGGTGGTGACTCGGGAAAGACAAGAGGAGGACGGGACGAGCACCTGGGGAGCTGCCACCTGGGGCCGGGGCTCGTGGAGGGCTGGACCGCAGCTGCGCAGGCCTCGATGTGTGGCCCTGTCGAGTTCGCGGCGCTTTCTGGGCCTGGGACGGCTACACTGTGGAGCCCTCCTAGCCCTGAATTTACCTGTGGTCTTGCCAGTCCATGCTGCCTCCTGCGCCTCGCTCCTCTCTGTGGCGCGCCTAGAGCCGCTCTGTCCCCTCCCTGACTTATCTGCAGTTTATTTCCCGGGCTAGGGACGCCTAGGGGACAGGGAGGGCCCCTGCTGGGAGGGGGCTGGGAGAAGGGAGGGCCCACGAAGGAGAGGCCTACAGCCTCCCAGGCCCCCTGCCCTACAGTTTCCCAGAATCTCCTCCTCTGCCCTTTCACCTCAACTGAGCCATCCTGTGAATCTTGGAACATAGATCTCAAAGTCTAACGACGAACCACGAACAGGGGCCCTAAGAGGGGCAGGGACCCGCCAGGGTGACACAGCAAAGCAACCTGTTCTGTTTACCACTCACCCTGCCCTGTAATCCACTTCAAATACCTACATTTTGCATGTGGGGTTGGAAGAATAAGTGTCGTTTTATGAGAAATATCTGCCACTTATCCAGCTTTTACTATTTTGTCACTCCTGGTGCCAAGCGTGAAACTTACGTTAACCCGTCTAATGCTCAGTCAACCCAGAAGGAAGTTGATAACGCCCCATTGAACAGATGAGGACACGGAGGATCAGACAGGTGCAGTGCCTGCCCACAAATAGGGAAGCCTGCCTTTAAACAATAGTCTACCTAAACTCTCAAATTTTCTCTCTCTATGGGCCTGGGTTTATGTCCAGGATTTTAGCTCTTCTCACTGTTTCTGCCACTGTCTTCAAAATCAAACTCCAGGTCTGTCTGAACCTAAAGTTTTTTTTTTTTCTTTTTTTTTCTTTTCTTTTCCTTTCTTTTCTTTTTTCTTTTCTTCTCTTTCTTCTTTTTTGAGACAGGCTCTCACTCTGTTGCCCAGGCTGGAGTGCAATGGCATGAATATGGCTCACTGCAGCCTCAACATCTTAGGCTCAGGCCATCCTCCAGCCTCAGCCTCTTATGTAGCTGGGACCACAGGTGTGCACCAGCACACCCAGCTAGTTTTTGTATTTTTTGTAGTGACAGTGTGTCATTTTGTTGTCCAGGCTGGTCTTGAACCCCTGAACTCAAGTGATCCTCCCACCTTGGCCTCCCCAAATTCTGGGATTACAGGTGTGAGCCACCATGCCCGGCTTCTTTACTTTCATATAAAATTACAGCCGGAAGCGGCTATAATTTGGAGGGTGAGACAGAGGATCACTTGAACCCAGGTTCAAGGTTACAGTGAGCTATGCTTGTGCCCCTGCACTCCAGCCTGGGCGACAGCTGTCTCTAAAAAAAAGACAAAAAACAGGCCGGGCGCGGTGGCTCACGCCTGTAATCCCAGCACTTTGGGAGGCCGAGGCCGGCGGATCACGAGGTCAGGAGATCGAGACCATTCTGGCTAACCAGTGAAACCCTGTCTCTACTAAAAATACGAAAAATTAGCCGGGCATGGTGGCAGGTGCCTTGTAGTCCCAGCTACTCGAAAGGCTGAGGCGGGAGAATCGCTTGAACCTGGGAGGCGGAGGTTGCAGTGAGCCAAGATCTTGCCACTGCACTCCAGCCTGGATGACAGAGCAAGACTCCGTCTCAAAAGAAAAAACAAAAAACAAAAACACAAACAAAAACAGAAACCGAAAAAAGCAAAACAAAAAACAAATTAGCAAAAATAGAAAAAATAAAAAATTATTACATGATGAATACATGAATATACATCTAGTATATTGTATATATAGTCTAGTGTAGTATATTACATATATAGTCTCATCCACATTTATAATATTGATAAATATTACCATTAGTAATAGGCAGCTGTCATTTGCTAAGCATTTGTGTGCTTGCTACTGTACTACGTATTTTATATGTATTCATCCAATCCTCAGGGGACCCCTAGGAGGGAGGCATTTTATTTTTTATTTATTTTTTTAATTTTTAATTATTATTATTTTTTTTGAGATGGAGTTTCCCTCTGTCATCCAGGCTGGAGTATAATGGCACGATCTCGGCTCACTGCAACCTCTGCCTCCCGGGTTCAATTATCCTCCCTCAGCCTCCCGAGTAGCTGGGATTACAGGCCTTTGCCACCACGCCCGGCTAATTTTTGTATTTTTAGTAGAGACCGGGTTTCGCCATGTTGGCCAGGCTGGTCTCGAACTCCTGACCTCAAGTGATCTGCCCACCTCAGCCTCCCAAAGTACTGGGATTACAGGCGTGAGCCACCGTGCCCGGCGGAGGGGGACATTTTAAACTTGCACTTTACAATGGGGAGACTGAGACTGAAAGGTGAAGTCCTTGCCCAAGAAGCCCCAAAGCCAACAACTGGCAGAGCTGGGATTTGAATCTGGGCAGTGAGTTTCAGGCTTTTTCTCATCCCCTCCTTGGGACCCATCTGAGGGAAGCAGAACCTCTAGGAGGGGTCACTGTCCCTTCCTAAATTCAAGAGCAGAGGCGGCTTCTGGGGTGGCATCAACCCCAGCCTCGGGCAAGAGACCTGTAGCCCCAGCACCCAGGGCGAGGGGATATTTTCCTGTCTGGAGGCAGAAGGAAAATAAAATCCTCAGTACAGCAGGGTGGGAGGCACACAAGAGGGCAGGCTGGATGGAGGGTTGGAGCAGGGGAGATATGGCCCCTGTCCCCGCCCCCTCCCTCCTGGCTGGTGGGGGCAGGGGCCTCAGTCCTGCCTGCCTGAGAGGACATGCCGTCCTGTTCTGTTCCAGCCCTGTTTGTCTTCCTGCCCAGAGGGTGGGGGCGAGAGGGCCTCACGGTGCTGGGGGCCCGACAGAGGGAACAGGGAGTGGGAACCGGCAGGGAGGTGGGGCCAGCGCCCCACCTCCTAGGCAGCTGGGCTCTGTAATCCTCTGTGGCTGGGCTGCTTCTTCCATAGAAGGAGCCAGCTGGTGGCTGCGGAGGGACCCTCCTTCCAACTCCCAGCCTGCCCTCTGGATGTTCTACTGGGAAGTGTGGGTCTTTCCCATCTCACAGACTGAAGGCTAGTTCCTCTGGCTCAGGGTTCCAATCCTGACTCTACTACTTATAAACTCCACTACTTATAAGCTCCACTACTTACAAGCTCCACTATTTATAAGGTGTGTGACGACTTATAAGCTGTGTGAACGTAATCGTGCTCTGTCGCCCAGGCTGGAGTGCAGGGGCTCGATCTCGGCTCACTGTCACCTCCGCCTCCCAAGTTCAAGCGATTCTCCTGCCTCAGCTTCCTGAGTAGCTGGGATTACAGGCGCCTGCCACCACGCCTGGGTAATTTTTGTATTTTTAGTAGAGACAGGGTTTCACTATGTTGGCCAGGCTGGTTTCGAACTCCTGACCTCAGGTGATCTGCCTGCCTAGGACTCCCAAAATGTTAGGATTACAGGCATGAGCCACCGCGCCCGGCCAAGGTTAGACTTATTATTCTCCCTCTGTGCATGTCAGAGGTGGAAAGCATGGGCTTAGGAGCTTCTTGGGCTTTAGAGTAACCTGTGGGTTACCCTCCCCATAGTGTGGTATGTGCATGCAATTACCTACATGGTTTTTACGCAAGCATCTTAAAAGGAGGACTGAATAACAGTGATACTGTAATAATGATAGCATTGGTGTGTTGAACGCTCACGGAGCTAGAGACCCCATTAAGTCCTTTCTACAACCCTACTGAGCAGGAGAAGTGATTTCTCCTTCAAAGAGGCAGAAACCGAGAGTCGGAGCAATGGTATCCCCAGCCCAAGTAACCCAGCGCCCTGCATCGACACTGAACTATGTTCAACCACTTCTCAGTGAATCTGACCATGTTCCTGCAATGACTTTCCCCATTTTCCGGATGAGGAAGGAAGCCCAAAGAGGTGATGAAACTTGCCTGAAGCCACACGGCTTTTAGTAGCAGAGCCAGGATTCAAACCAGGTCTGTCTACTCTGACTTGAACTCACTTTGTGGCACACCTATTGGGTGTTCTGCCCCCGACCATCTGCTGCCTCACTACTGGCTCCTCATCTTGATCTGGGATGGTGGAAAGGGAGTGTGATCCCCAGTTTTCTTTTTTTTTTTTTGAGACAAGGTCGGGCTCTATTGTCCAGGCTGGAGTGCAGTGGCCTGATCTTGGCTCACTACAACCTCTGCTTCTCAGGCTCAAGCCATTCTCCCACCTCAGCCTCCTGAGTAGCTGGGACTACAGACACTCACCACCATGCCTGGCTGATCTGCGTATTTCTAGTATAGATGAGATTTTGCCATATTGCCCAGGCCCGCCTCGAACTCAAGCAATCTGCCCACCTCAGCCTCCCAAAGTGCTGGAATAACAGGCCTGAGCCACTGCGCCCGGCCTCCCCGTATTTCCAGGACCTGAAACTGAGGCTCAGAGCAGCAATCACTGACACAAGTCCACACCACCAGGAAGTGGGTGAGAAGGGATTTGAACCCTGACTTTGGGGCCTGTGCTCTTGGCAGGTGTGCCCACCGCCCAAGGGGCCCCTGCCCTGCCCCTCTTTTGCCTAGCAGCCTCGGTCCCTTCCCCCGTCACACCCCTGCTGCCTCCAGATCGCCCCAGCTGGCCCCATGCCCAGCCCTGGTCCAGCCCCCTGGCACTCTGCCCAGCTTGGGACGTGCAGCTGGAACCCTGCCACCCTTCCTCCGTGTTCCAGCCAAGAACAGGGGGTGGGGCCGGGGCCTGGAGGGCTCAGGGTGAGGCCTGAGAATGGGGGTTGGGGCCCAGTGCCCCCCTCCAACCAGGAAGGAGAGAAGTTCACCTCTTCCCTGCCCTGAAGAACTTGCCACCCGTGAGGAAGGCGTAATAAAAGCAGGGAGTCCCTGCCCCACATTCAGGGCTACTTCTGGGCTTTTCTCTTCTGACACTCAGCTGGGTACTGGGGGGTCTTACGAAAAGCACAGAGGATTTGGTGGGTGGGGGCTTAGGTTGTAGCTGGGCAAGGATGCCTCTTGGCACTGTCCAGAGCTGTCCTGACAGACTAGACGCAGGGTTTGGGTTTGCAAAGGGACTTGGCATGAGGGTCTGTGGGAGTCTCTCTGTCCCCTGACTCTGCTTGTTCCCAAGGACATGGTAATCTGGTGGGGTGCCGGTCCCCAAAATCCTATCTTCTCCAGGAACCTTGTACCTCACTAGACACTCTGGGCTGCAAGCCGTACCCACCAGGGACTTCCCAAGAGCATCCTTGCCCACAGTGGGATGGCAGCCAGCCCCAGCTAGAGGAAGGGAAGGGGGAAAGGGGGTTTGGGGGGCCCACTCACCATCGCCCAGGCCCCCTTTGGCTGAAGGGCCATCCAGGGGATGCAGGAGGGGACGCAGCGCAGCCAGGACCCGGGTGCGAGTTACGAGTGGGTGGCGCGCAGCGGTGAGATGACTCCACAGGAAAGGGCCGGCCTTGGGTGGGGAGGGGGGCACCCCAGCTCAGCCAAGAGGGGCCCCCACCCAGCCAGGAGGGGGCGCTGAGAAGGGCGGGACGACAGCTGGCCCAAAAAGGGTGGGATGGAGTTCCCTGGTAGGCCCAGAGCCAGGGCCTGGAATAGAGTGGGGGAGGGGGGAGAGGATGGGGGGGTTAGAAACATGGGGTGTGCACGGATCCAATCAGGCCTGAGAAACCAGGGAGGAGGGAAGGGGGTGAGGCTTACTGGGTGCCTCACATTGGACAGGGAAAGCTGAGGACCTAGAACATTTTCCAGAGTCCCATGAGAACATGGCCAGATAAGACCCCATGGCAGCGGCCCCAGGGCACAGGTTCCTTGTGTTCCAGCAGAGCTGCACCTGCTGGGAGGTGAACCCAGAAACCCACCCTCTGCCCGGGAAGACCCCAGCTGAGCACTGCGGCAGGGGGCGCTCCCATCACAGCCTGCAGGCTCACAGTACCCCGCCATGG